TTACAAAAAAAAAAAAATCAAGAAACCTAAATCAGTCCAAGAAGAAAATCAAGCCTTCCTTGCAGAGGAAACACCTGCCCCAGGGGGAAAGAGCAACCATGGCCACTCACAAAACAGACCCCTGCCAGCTTATCCAGAGATCAGGAGAGGAGGGGATGCCTGCCTCGGTTCTGGGTGCCCAATACCCCAACACCATAAACAGAGTGGGGTAACAGGGGAGGGGGTGCAGCTTAGTTTACTGAGAGACAGACCGATGGCCCTGAACAACTCCGACTGAGCCACACCACATGGAAATGGACAAGCTCTGTAACAGCTTATTTTAAGACTATATGGTTGTTTTGATATCATAAAAGCCAAAAAATGCAGTTCATTAAATTAACTGATTTGAGAATGAAAGCCATGAGTCTGACAGTTCAACGCCTATTCATGATCCAGATTCTTTCCTCACTAGGAGTAGAAGGAGGATCTAATATGATGAGACAGCAAAATATGATGAGACCAAAACCTGGCAGCAAACTCGCACGGTGTCCAACCTGTAGCATGCGCAGGAGGCTCGCTACAGCCGCTGCCTCCGTGAGGCATGGCCTGGGTTCCTGGCCAGTGCAATCAGCACTTGGGCAGCCCCGCAGAGACCCACCCAGGCACCTCCACACCCACCCCGCATCTCATGGTCAGGGACCCCCTCCTACTCTTCCAGGGCTCTGGCCAGTGCCTGGCTCTACCAATCGGTGGACCACAATGCTCAGGCCAAGTGGCACATGCTGGAGGAGTGTGGGAGGCGAGGCCACTGTGCATGTGCTCGCATGTAAGGGTGTGCACCTGCCTGAACCCCTCTCCATTCTCATGGACCAGATCAGGGGGGCTGGGAATGAGGACTGATGACCATCACCGTCCCTCCTCCTTTTCTCTTCTGTGGACTTTGCCCCAAGCCCAGGGGTAACCAGGGGACCCCTGGGCTCGGAGCCATGGATTCCCTGGAACCCATGTGGGGCCCTGCTTCAGGGTCACCTCCTTCATGTTCCATCTTTATGTGGATTTGTTAACAGGGAGAAAAGGGCTGCTTTCCAGTCTGCTCTCTGCTGATGATCACCGAGAACCCAAGGCAAGTGGAAGAGGAATGTGAATTTCCATAGCGGCCCCTGAACCATGGTCCTTACACATTGGAAGGTGAGTCCAGGGCACAGAACGCCTTCCACACCAGTGTCACCACCTGGGAGGGGCTAAGATGCCCAGCGCTGCCCACAGGGGCAGGAGTGACTCTGGTCCCGAAGCAAAGGCACGAAGCGGGCTCCGCTGGCCGGAATGGAGAGAAGCAGCAACAGAAACTTTGATGGGGACCTAAACCCAAAGAGGCCTGTCCCTGTCCTGGGCTTGTATTCCCGAGGAGGAGGAGGGACTACAGCGTCTGTTCATGGTCACAGTGGCCCAGAGCCTTGCTTGTTCTGCTGTGTTCCTGAGATGCATACGGGGGGTTGAGCTGTGTCCACAATTTGCTTGGTCTCGGGGCCCTGTAGTCTCTTTCCTACCTGTCCCACAGGTCCTGCTACCGACCCTTTAGAGGGTGGGGCCTGGGAGAAAGAGGGCAGCAGACACACAGCGAGACAAGGGGTCGCCTGGCCAACCAGCCGTGGGCGCAACTCGGGGAAGCGTGGTTGGTCCAATTCCCAGCCCAGGCTGGCTGGGGTGGGGGGCCTCAATATTACTTAAAGGCCTAAAAATACTGCTGGCCGTAAATCAGGCCCTGCTTCAAGGCCATGGGCCCTGCCCAAGTGTGGGAGGAAGGAGCAGGTCTGCACACCACCTGTGTCTGACGACAGCCAAGGCCCAATCCCCTGGAGGCTGGAGGGAAAGCCACCTCTGGAAGGCAAGTGAGTGGCCCAGCACTGCCATGTGCCCCCGAGGCCACGGTGTCCTGAGGAGGGTGGCCGCAGGCTCCCAGTCACTGCCATGGCCCCTGGCCGCACCCAACCTGGATAAGGACCCTCTGGGAGGGATCCCTGGCCACTAGTGGCTCTCATAGCACATGACCTCAGGTGCCAGGAATGTGCACGCGGCGCGGCCGCCATCTGGTTCCCATTACCCACGCTCTTCTGCGGGAAACCTCATCTGCGTCTCTGCTCCCAGCGCCCGCCCGGGAGAGATTGATTTGGGCTCATTAGAGACTCCAGCAGCAGGCTGCGAGGTGAGGCACATCTGTGCCCACGTGGCTCGAGGGCCAGGGCGGGCGGCCACGTTGGAGGGCCAGCACGGTGCACCGGGGGCCTCGGGGCGAGGATGCCTGTGGATGCTGGTGGGTGCCGGCCCCTGATACTTCCTTCTCAGAGGCCTTGCGCGTCACAACCTGAAAATCTCCAGGGCCTCTGGGGCCAACTCTGAACCTGACATGCAGCCGTTCTCAGTGGCTGCACTCAGCGGGAGGAACACTGTCCTCCTGCTTTGATGTGCACTGCTGAGCCTGAGCCCGACATAACACCATCACGTAACCACTACGTCCACTCCACAATGCCTGGCTCCCCTTCTGCTTTAACTTTCAAATTCATTAATAATCCTCTGTGCTTTAACCTTTCAGTTCATCAGTACAGTAAAAGTTCATCTCTGGACTGGAAAATGCCCCATAAATTTAAGTCTTAAGTTCCAGCAGCTGTTTCCCGAACAAGCCAGCAGAGAGCAGGCAGATCTGGGCCAGGTCAGCAGGAGGGGACCCTTCCAGGGTCCTCTCCACAATATTCAAGAGTGCCCGCTACCCCTGGGGGTACTGCAGTCCAGGGTGGGGTTCTCAGGGAAGCCACCCGAGTCTTCAGCCTTTTGCAAGGTCAGGCTGATGAAATTCAAGCCATAGCAGGATGGAGCACTGGACCCCACAGTGGGAAGGTGGAGGCCCTGCCTGGTCCCCACCAGACTCGAGGAGCAGGAAGGAGGGGTGCAAGAGCCTCCAAGGCCTACCTGGCTGGGCTTGACACCCAGTGAGGTGCCCTCCTCTGGTGAGGACATGAAGACCCATTACCAGACTGGCTCTGCCCCAGTCTTAAAGATGACAGCCATCATGACGACATTCACTCCCATCCCCACTCAGGTCTACCATTCCAAGGCCTTGGGACCCTTCCGCTGGGACAGAGGCATGAGAAGCTCTGCTCTGCCACAGCCAGGCCTGGCCTCATTTGGAAGCCTGGCTAACCCCCCTTCCCCTGGGGCCTCCATGGGCTCTCTAAGACAAAAGGACAGAAGGACAGATGGGTAGTTGGCTTTACTGTAGTCAGCCATGTGCTGGCACAAGCTGATCTGCTGGGGAGGAGCAATGCTAAGGAACCATAAATGTGTACCCTATCCCCAAATGTCACCTGTGATCCCCTCTTTCCCTCTCTTGCTGGGCTCTGGCCGGCTGCTCCCCACCCTCAGGTTCCTGCTCGGATCCCACCTGGAGAGACACCAGGCAGCCTCACACCAGGACAGTAGGCAGTTCTGCCCTGCTGCTGCTGGCCACTTGCTCTGGTTTTCACCTTTGTTCTCAGACAGGATCCTTCTTTTTAGGATGCCAGTCCCAACTCCAGCTTCAACATGAAAGGGCCCCCTCCCAGGCCTCCCTCTGCCTGAGCTGTGTCCGTCTCTGGGCCTCCATGTCCGTCACCATTCCCTCCAGCACCCTGCCGCCTGGCTCCTTCTCAGCCTCCGTCTTCCCCAGGACTCCTCACCCACCATGTGAGACCCCTGCCCCAGCTGTCCTCGCTCTGTCCCTCTTTCGGGATGACCGGGTGGTGAGGCCCCACCCCAGGGTGGCACCCAGGACGTGTAATGCCTGCTAGGCACCACAGCATGCCCTGATTTTCCCCAGGGGCCTGCCCTTCCCCTCTCCAACCCATATGCCTCAGGGGCTTGGTGGTGCCTGCCCAGGGCTTCTTCCTCTGGCTGTGAGGGTCCAGGCTGGGCAAATGTGGGGTGAGGCAGGCTTGCCAGGCTAGTAGGCAAGGCTTTACCACCCGGCGTGGGGAGATGCCTTCTCCACCACAACTCCTGCAGAGAAGGGCAGTCCTGCCCTCCAGCACTCCAGGTGAGGCCAAGTGCCGAGCCTCTGCTGCTTCTGCTGGCAGTCTCCCTGAGGGCCACACATTTCCCAACGGGGGCCCTGTTCCCCCACCAGACCCAGGTTTACAGCACTGCTCTCCCACGCAGCTTCCACTCGCTAGTCAAGTGGCCAAGTCTCAGCCTCCCAAGGCTTCCTGGCTAATGGGGACTCCTTGGCCACCCCAAGACACCAGAGTGCACCCAGGCCACCCTCTGGGGGCCAAGAGGCATCACACGTCTGTCTCAACCCCTGTGACCTGCAGCCCCCCAGGGACCTGCCCTAGTGTGAGGCCTGGACAGGAGGCTCCCCCCCGCAACTTTACTCCCCAAGTTCAAAACAGGGCCGAGGGTACAGGCTGGGCCACTGCATGCTGAGCACCAGCCACAGGCCCAGACCTGGCCCCAAGTGCTCCACGAGCCATGTGGGAAGGGAGAGTCCACTGAGACCTCATGGGAAGGTTTCCAGCAACACCCCGCTCCAGCCAGAGGCCTCACACCCCTTCCCCACTGTGGTAAGCAGAGAGGAACCACTTTCCTGGGGTTGGCCTGCAGACTGCCCTGGGGGCGTGACTCCATGGATTTCTCCACACTGGGTTGGTTTTTGTTGATTAATCAGTTCCTTACTGACCGAATTCCTCTGAGTTTTTGCAAATGGACTTGCCTACTCCTGGACTCTACATGCCTTTTCTCTAGATGGACAAGACGTGACTGTTGTTAACCCGAGGTCTGAGAGAAACCCAAACCATGTGAACGGTTCACAAACGCCCACGCCCCCTTCTTCCTGCACCGGCCCCGCGGACAGGCTGGCCTGCACCCCGCCTCGCAGTGATTAATTAGCCAGGGATCTGCAACAACTCCTCTTCATGCCTAAATATTGTTTCAGCCTATCAGACTGTTAGTGCAAAGCAGGATAAATGACACCTCGGGTCTGGCGCACTGACCTGCAGGGCCTGCTGCTCATCCAGGCTCCAGACAGCCAGCGCCTTCTCCGCGGAGCCCGAGACGCCCCTGGCCTTCTGGGAGTCAAAGTCAAAGCCCATGACGGGCTCCGGGTGGCAGGCGACGCGGCTGCACACCTTCCGCTCAGAGACGTCCCACAGGGCCACCGATCCGTCCTCATAGCCAGCCAGGAGGAGTGGGCGGGGACTGGAGTCGGCCTGCGGGGACAGCACAGCAGTCAGCTCCCGAAGGCTCCTGGTAGGTTTTGGGGGAAGAAGGGGCTCCAGAGAGGGGCGGCCTCTCCCACTGGGCCTTGGGGGTGGCCCAGCCAGGGAGCTATTCGGCGTGCTCCCTGCACGGCAGTTAACAGTTCAGAGGCTCTGCGTGCCCCCCGACAGTGGACGCCCGTGGCACCGGGCTGGCATGGGCCAGTGTTGAGGCGCTCCGAGGACTGAGACTGGAGGCCACGGAGCCCGAGGTCGGCCTGCGCGGCCCCCCGCCTCACACTGCCATGCCGCTGCTCACCAGCCCGGCCGGGTGCTGCTGCTTCTTCCTGCCTCCTTTCTGCAGGCTGAGACTTGCGGCCACCCCTTCGTGAGGCCGGTCACCTGTCTAGAACTGCCAGCCAAAGGAAATCGCGAGCTCCATCTCCATGAAAAATGAACTTTCTGTGCTTTGTCAACGTCGCCGCGGAAGCCCCCCACCCCCCCAGGCCTGGTGAGTCGCCAGGGCGCTGACTGGTGTGAGCCGAGCTCTGCCGGCCCTGAGTTATTGTGATGAATGAGGATGCGGGTCAGAGGGCTCCGCACCCGGGACAGACGCCTCGTTTATCTAGCCTCAGCAACCACTCCAGGGGAGCACCGCGGGATTCCGTGTCACCCCGGCACTGAGAGCGGCAGCCCCATGCTTGGTGCCCAGGCTCCAAGACAGGGATCCTGGTTGCTTCTGGGGCAAAGCACAAGCCAGCCTATGCCTTTTGCTCTTCTCTCGCCTCTGCATTTCCTGCTGAGCTGCCTGGGGTTGGCGTCACTCAAGTGTCAGAAATAACTGAGCACATCCCCTCCCCAGTGAATTTTCCAAGAGCCAGGAGCTCAGCTGAGCCTCAGGGAACTCTGGGCCTGGCCCCCAGCCTCTGGATGGTCAATGGTAAGAATGGGATCCTGGCGGTGTGGGGTGGGGTAGGGAGGGGGAGGCTGGTCAGCGAGGCTGCCTCCTGGGTCACCGGCAACTCCCAGAACGGTCCCCCGCTGGCAGCAAGGCTGACACTGAGCAGGGTGCCTGGGCCTCACTGGTCGTGGGCTGACAGGGACTGACAGCACCATGGAGGCCCTCCTCGCCCACCTGCTGGAGCTCCTGTTATGAGCTGTGTGGGTGCTTCCATCTGCCCAGAGGGGCTCAAGGCCCAGATGCCTCTCCACAATATTCAAGAGCGCCCAGAAAGAACCTTTGCTCAGCTAAACAAGGTGACCAGGTTTAGCCAGAAAGCACCAGGTCATGTATCTAATGAGTGGATACTACATCTTCCACACACGGAAGCGGGGCTCTCTCTGTGCATCAGAAGGGGAAACTGAGGCTTTAGGGTGTGATGTATGTCACCAGGGCCCTGGTTAGTGAAGGGAGCCAGGGGGAGCCTGATGCAGACCAGCTCTTTGATCAGGAGATGGCAGGCTGGAAGATGGGGAGGACACAGTCACCAAGGCCTGCCCACAGCCCAGGGAATCCTCCCAGGCCAGAGCTAGCCTCGAGGACGCCTCCTGCACATCCCCAGAAATGGCCTCTACACCTTTTCTGATGGTAATAGATGTTCATACAAAGAAAGCCTCCTTAGCTTTACTTAGCCTCTGGCAGCCTGTGCCCCTCCCTGGGGCCTCTTGCAGGCTGACTGCGCCGCCCCCCTTCCCCCCCCCGCCAGCCGGCCCCAACTTCCGTGGGCCCGACTGGGCAAGCAGTCAGGATATGGGCCCTGTGACCATGAACCCTGTGTGCGCACAGTGCCTGCTGATGCCTGCCATGGAAGGGCCAAGGCTGCGAGCAGCTGAGCGTGGTCACTGCCTCCGTCTGGTCTCCCGTGCGAAGCCATCAGCGTTGGTACGCTTTCTCTGTAGTTTTGTAATGGGGAAGAGCTCCATTTTGGTATCTTTCAAGTCATCCGATTGGAAACTATTTGTGTGGTATAAAATTATTTATACGGCTTTTCTCCAGACATGTACAGACTGCTTTAAGAAGTGGTCAGGCCCTCTGCTCGGGTACCTCCTTTCAGGCAGCTGTGCTTCTCCAGAAGGGGCCTCCCCCCTTGAGCAGCCAGCCATATCTGGACCCTGCTGGGAGGGTGAGAGCCAGGTGAGAACAGCCCAATGCTCTGTCTGTTGGCTGACCAGGCCAAACCCCTAGGCCAGACCTGCTGGGCCCCACGTTAGAGGTCAGCTCTGAGGAACTCACCTGGGGCCCACTTGGGTCTCTTCCCTTCAGGGCAGTGATCTGTCTTGTCACCTGCTTCCCATCCACCCTGCCTCTGCCCAGCCTCTCCCTGAGGAGAGGAGAGGGCCCCAGGGCCCTCTCCTCTCCAATCCCCTGGGCACATTCCTCCCACATCTGGGGCTCCTCCCAGTGCCAACACATTGGTTTTGGTCTGTCTCTGTAGCCCAAGTCTGCATCATGCCTGTGGTCTCTGGGTTCTGAGCATCTCGGCTCGTTCAGGGGCTGCGTGCTACTCACCCACCTATCAAAGTGCCACAGGGTGGCCAGATCAGGAGCCAGACTGACCTGCAGGGGCCCACCTCATTGTTGCCAAGGGTGACCAAGTGCTGAGCTGCAGCCCTGATGGTTGCTGCTCCCCATCTGTGCTGCAGGGCCCCTGTGGCCCCCAGTGACAGGCGGCACAGGCAGAACAGTGGTCTCATGGTCTCAGGCCTTTGGTGACAGGCTGATCTCCATGGGGTCAGGACCTGAAGTTGCCACAAGGACTCGCTTTGTGTCTTCTGTCTCTGGGCATGCTGACTGGGAGGGACCCCAGCAGGCAGGCCCCGCCTACAGCATCTCCTGGGACCAGTCCTGTGGCGGGAGCTCCCAGCTCACTAGAGGGGACCCTAGGCCTAGGGTCTGAAAGCCTGTTCTCAGGGCTGCTGTGATCGATATTCCTGACCTTTTATGTGATAATCATCCTAACAATGCAAGTCAGCCACTTTGAAGAGCAAAACAAGAATATGGGGTGCTTGGGTGTCTCAGTCTGCCTGCCTTCAGCTCAGGTCTTCATCCTCGAGTCCTGAGGTGGATCCCCTTGGTGTGGCGCTCAGCAGGGAGTCTACTTTCTCCTCTCCTCCCTCTGCCCCTCCCCACCACTTGTGTGTGCACGCTCTGAGTTTTTGTAAAAATCTAAAAAAAAAGAATATGGGGCACCTGGTTGGCTCAGGCAGTTAAGCGTCTGCCTTTGGCTCAGGTCATGATCCCAGAGTCCCGGGATTGAGCCCCACATCGTCGGGCTCCCTGCTCAGCGGGGACTCTGCTTCTCCTTCTCCCTCTGCCCCTCCCCCTGTTTGTGTTCTCCCCCTCTCTCTCCCTCTCTCAAATAAATAAAATCTTCTAAAAAAACATGAAAAAAGAAGAATACATCTGAATGTTTCAGTGAGAAATACCATGTCAGGCCCCTCTGCCACACTCATATTAATAAACTACAACCTGGACCTTCAGGTTTGGAGAGAAAAAAAGGACATTTCAAATTAATGTCAACTCTTTTTTAACAGAAGGCTTTGCGTTGGATCTGTATCAACTAACAAAAACTCGATTTGTCCTTCTGTCAACTATATTAATTACCTTAACAAGTTTGTACATCCCATTTCTACACATTTTTCTGCTGGAATTTTTACACGATTACGCAACGACAATGTTTCCAGGGAGCAGGGTGGGAGTGGATGCAGCCACGATGCCCTGCCCGGGAGTGTGAGCGCCACGCCTCAGCCCCAGGCATCCCAGCCTCGGGCTGTTCCCCCGCCACAGACCTGCAGGTGCCAGGAGCACTGTCATTCAGGCGGCTCTCTTAGAGGCCCCACCCACTCAGCTCGCAGTGGGCAGCAACAGGACACCACAGAATCAGCTTATCAGAGATTTCCAACTGGAAACAAATTCCAATTGGAATGTTCTCAGTTAAGAAATTGCATAGGGGGAAACCAATGGCAAGAAGGCTCAGGTCCCTGGAGGGACAAAAAGCGTGGGGCAAGGTCTCTGGGGGTGCCTGGCCCTGTGGGTCCTGTTGGCCCCACAGACATCTCTAAAGCGCCCAAGCCCATCTTGTGAAAAGTTCAAACAAGCAGTGTGGCACGAAGCAGGAATCACCTCTTCCCGATCTCAGGCAGGCTCAGGGTAGCTGCCAGAAGGTGCTGGTGAACTGAACAGAGCTGGGAAAACGGCCTATAAGCAGCGCTCCCCAGGGCAGGCACTGGTCAATGACCTGTCCACCACGGTCTCCGCCACGGCAAAGATGCTGCCTGCGGTTCTTTCCAAGTGAACACACCAGACCATTTGCTTTGTTGCCCCAAACACTAGCAGCCCTGAGAAGCAGAAGCGTACACTTTGAGCCACTGCTGTCCCCTGTGGCTGAGAGGAGGCTGTGCCTTGAGGAGGGACAGGGCTTCTAGTAGAGGCAAGTGGGTGGGGCCAGGAGGATCCCTCCCAAGGCCTCACGCTTGGCCTTGGAGCTGAACCCCATCCTGCCAGGACTCAGGCGTGTGGCCCATTTCCTGGTCCCAGGTTTCACCTGCCAGCCCCAGGAGATGCCTTCTGACCCTCTCTAATCAGAAAGAGTAGACAAGAAAGAAGGAAATGGCTATGAATCAGAAATGCCAGGGGCGCCTGTGTGGCTCAGTCGTTAAGCATCTGCCTTCGGCTCAGGTCATGATCCCGGGGTCCTGGGATCAAGCCCTGCATCGGGCTCCCTGCTCTGCGGAAGGTCTGCTTCTCCCTCTTCCAGTCCCCCTGCTTGTGTTCCCTCTCTCGCTGTGTCTCTCACTGTCAAATAAATAAATAAAATCTTAAAAAAAAAAAAAAAAGAAACGCCAAGTGTGGCCGTAGGGAAAGTCAGTGTTAAGCCCACTCCTGCCTCTGAGGCAAAGAAGTAACAGAAAGTAATCCAAGCAAAGCAGGGGCCGGGCTGGCTTGCAGGGTTAGTCAGCATTTCCCTCGTAGCCCTGTGCAGGGCCACACGCCGGTGTGCAGAGAGGGAGAGGAGTTCGCAGCCCTCCGCTGACCCAGCTGTCCCTCCTCACTGCACGGGCAGGAGGGTGCCATGCGGGGGACAGCATAAGCCAGACCTGCCCCAGGCAGTTTGTAGAGCAGCAGCAGGAGCCGGTGGGGACACCGAGGCTGTGGAAGGCAGTGTGCACATGCACTCCCAGAGGGCTAACTGTCCTTTGGTTTGATGAAAAACTAAATCCTGAATGGGGCATGATTCACGGCCCAGAAGGCGTGGCTGGCAGGGCGTGGTTGGCGTGCGCTGGGCCTTACCTGCCACAGCTCCAGGCACATGGGCATGCCCGGCTTGGCATCTGCCTCCGGCTTCAGGGTGCACACTGACGTCTTGGATGGCATCTCCAGAATCTGAACCTGACAGTAAGAAAACAAGTTGATTTGGGCCGGCGCCAAGTCGAGCCTGTGCTATACAAACAAGAGACTTTTAAGGCGATTAGCCAAGGCTGCTGCGAGTTTCTGTCTGCTTCCCGGAGGAACCTGGGAGCTGAGCCTCCTAATTAGGCCGCACAGGCTCGTGGGCTCAGGCACTGCTGGGCATTGTGAAACTAACACGTCATTTCCAAGTGACCGGCATGTCCCTCTAACCAGCATCACCACCTGGCTGGCAGCCGCCTCCGGCCCCTCCCAATTTTACCTCTTCACTGAGCAGGAGGTTGGCTTGGCACAGACTCAGTTTGCCCATCCTCCTGATCTCTGCCACCTCTTTCCTGATTTGGGCTTTCATGTGAACAACTCTGAACTATCTCAGGTGCATCAAATGGTTTACAGAAGTGCACGGGACGGGGGGAGGGGGGCCCTACGAGGCTCCATCGATTAAGCATCTGCCTTCGGCTCAGGTCATGATCCCAGGGTCCTGGGATGGAGCCCCGCGTCGGGCTCCTTGCCCAGCGGAGAGCCTGCTTCTCCCTCTCCCTCCGCCTGTACTCTCTCTGACAAACAAATAAATAAATAATCTTTAAAAAAAAAAAAAAAACAAGTGCACAGGGAACCCCTGGGGACCACCAGCAAGCCTAGGAAATGAACATGGTGTGCACCAAGCGGAACTCTGTTTGGGGCCTGACTGGTCCCAGCACTCCGCACCTCTCTACTGGGCATCACAGCCGTGTTTTGTGTCACCTGAATGCAGGTGCAGGCCCTCCTGCGCCCGGGCTGGAAGATGTGTCTTTCTGGTCCACACAGCCAGGTCACACTCAGGCCTGTCTACCCGAGCTGGGCCCAGCTCTGCCCCACACCAGGGGACAGCTGCAGCCACAAGGAGCAGGCTCGGGCACTAGAGCATTGCAGACCAGAAATGGGCCCCCAGCCATCTGCATCCCTACTGCCTCATCTCCCTCATCCACCAAGCAGGGACAAGGGCGCCCCCTCCTGTGGTGCTTGGAGGTGGAGGGGATTCCATGTGAAGCAGCTCTACTGCTCCATGATGGGGAGGCTCAACAAGCCCTTGGCTCCCCTTGATACAGGCGAGAGGGGCTGTACTGATAATGTCACAACAATGTGCAGCCATTGTGGAACCACACATCATCCCTAGCCAACAGGAGGACATCCTCCGGTTTGCAGATGAAGTCTGAGGTGTAGAGATAGGTGCTGTCTGCCGCCCAGTGAACTGAAGGCATGTGGGTCTGAGCTGGGCTGCTCTTAACTACCCCACGTGGGAGAACCGGCCCAAGGCCTGAGATTAAGTCCTGAGTGGGAGTCCCAGATCTGCTACCTGCACGCTGGGTCTGTCTGAGGGCACACAGCAGGCAGGGTAGAAAGCCAGTGTCACGGCCTGGTCGTCTCAGCTGTGGGCCTGCTTGGGGGTGGCACCCCCACAGGCTGAGGCTGGGGGGGCCTTCTGGACAGGGCTCTCACCAGGGGCCCAAACAGTATCCTAGGGGAGGGGCTCAGCATTGCAGAGTACGTACACGTCCCCACCACCAAGCACGCACATATGTACGCACATGCAGACAGGCCCCCCGACCGTCTGCTGGGCCTGCAGGATCAGTGTCCATGCCAGCCACGGCAGCCCTCCCTGCCCACAAAGGAGACAGAAAAGACCCTCAGTGACGTGAGCGGTTATTACTGTCATGAAATAAGAGGCTGCTAGAAGAAGCAGCCCCTGGAACAGCAAAGATGCTCAAGGAGAAGCTCTAGCAAAATAAAAAGAAATGCAAGAAAAGTCACGTGACAACCAAGACACAGCGGTACCTAAGTATGGCCCAGAAGTAAGCGGAAAACCCAGGAGACGAGGAGGGGGCTTTCGGAGCCCTTGTGTCCTTGGCACAGTGACTCAGTTTCAGGCTTATTGCTTGAGAATCGGCTGTAGACACTATGGGAAGCCTATGAGCCCTGGTCAGGGCACGCTCACGCCAGACGCCCCACAGAACAGAGAAAGAGATGCTCCTCTCGGTCGGGACACCTCTGCACCCAGCCTAGGCAAGTGCAAAGCTGCAGAGCTGCCATCTGTGTGAAGGCAGAGGGAGAGGGAGAAGCAGGCTCCCTGCTGAGCGTGGGGCCTGCTTAAGATTCTCTCGGAGCAGTTAAGCATTTGCCTTTGGCTCAGGTCATGATCCCAGGGTCCTGAGATCGAGTCCTACATCAGGCTCAGCGGGGAGCCTGCTTCTCCCTCTGCCTCTGCTCCTCTTGCTTGTGCTCTCGTTCTGTCAAATGAATAAATAAAATCTTTAAAAAATTTTTTAAGCTTTTATTTATTTATTTGAGAGAGAGAGAGAGAGAATGAGAGATAGAGAGCACGAGAGGGAAGAGGGTCAGAGGGAGAAGCAGACTCCCCGCTGAGCTGGGAGCCCGATGCGGGACTCGATCCCAGGACTCCAGGATCATGACCTGAGCCGAAGGCAGTCGCTTAACCAACTGAGCCACCCAGGCGCCCTAAAAAAAATTTTTTTTAAATAGGAGCACCTGGGTGGCTCAGTCGTTAGGCGTCTGCCTTCGGTTCGGGTCATGATCTCGGGGCCCTGGGATCGAGCCCCACATGGGGCTCCCTGCTCAGCGGGGTGTCTGCTTCTCCCTCGGCCTCTGCCTCTGCCCACGACTTGTGCTCTCTCTCTCTCTCTAATAAATAAATAAAATCTTTTTAAAAAATTAAATTCAAAAATAAAAATAAAGATTCTCTCTCCTTCTGCCCCTCCCCCCACTAAAAAATTTAAAAAAAATTTTTTAATATAAAAATTTAAGATATAAAAAAAAAGATGTTGCCTGGGTGGTTGGGGGGCTGGGGGGAGAAGCCACCCTGACTGCTTGCATGTGCTGGTGGGGAGAGGGATAGCAGAAGAAACAGACGTCACTGGACACAGTGTGCACAGGCCCACACCCTGGATGGCCTGGCACAAGGGCACACAGGTACAGTGAGGGATGGCCTCTCCCAATCTGTGGGCCCAGGAAGATCCCTCTGGTGGTGTGAGTGAGGAGGGGCGTGAAGGCAAGGTGATCAGGTAGGGGTGAGTCACCTTGCAAGGCAGCTTGGGAAGGAGAGGGGGAAAACCAGGACAGCCCTGAAGCCTGAGCAAGACACTGTGGGAGGAAGCGTGAGTGGTGGCACCCACAGCCACATCCTGGGTGCAGGAGAGCGGGGAACCCAGGGCCCGAGGACCAGGGCAAGCCCAGGAGCCGCTGTGGGTCCAAGGAAGAGCTCTGGGCTCTGGCAAGGCCTGGACGCCTGTGCTCGGAGCATCCTACAGACACCAGTGTGCTTTCCATCTGGCACTCAATTGCAACCTCTGTTTCCTGAAGGTAAAATGTTTGGTTTGGGCAAGTGTGGCCACCCAGATGGCCGAGCGGGGTGGGAGCGTGTCCTCCCCGGGCATTGTCTGGGCATAGGCCAGCGATGCTTTTCCAAGCAAATTCAGTCCAGGCAGATTCCAGGTGGGAACATGGAAAACCACCATTTTCCCAGGATATCCCAGGTCCTTCGACTGGCTGCTCCTGAAAAACACAGATGCTGCCTGCACTGGCGGATAGGGAGCCAGCAAGTCAGCTCGGAACACCTCGAGCAGCACATGCGGGGTGTCCGGGGCCAGGCCCCGGGGAAGCCAGGAAGGCCTGGAGTGGCCGGGAAGGGGAGGGCCGCACATGGCACCCCCGGCCCCGTAGGGAGGGCTGGGCTCCATGGCGTGCAGCGCAGGAGCAAGGCTTGGTGCTGCCTGGCCCCGGCTGTCCGGGAGGAAGCACACCCCTCTCTTTTCACATTAATAAAACTTCTAACAGGTTTTTGGCAAATTGGCAAGAAAAGCGTATGTAGCTCCTAATTGGTGATTTAAACGCAATCATGAACAAATAAATGCCTGTTCCTCTCTCATTATTTATGAACTGAATCTGCTTTAAGACAAACGAGACTTCTTGGGTAGGGGCCAAACCTTGCTGTGCACACGGGGCCCCGTGTCCTTGCCCAGCGCCGCCTGCTGTGCAGCCTCTTGGGGCCGGCAGGGAACACGGGGAGCCATGGGCGAGGGTGGCAGACAGGAGGCTCGCTCTCCCTGCATGTGTGTGCCCCCAGCCCTCCCTGCCCCAGGCTCAGAGCCCCTGTCCACCACCCCCCCTCAGCCCAGACCCTGAGCAGCTATGCCCCCACACTCACCAGGCCTGTCCAATCACTGCTCCTGGGTTTCTTCTTCAATTTCCCTTCAGCTCCCCAAGCGCTGGCCCCTCCTGCCACACTGTCACCCTCTACCTTACCCTCCACCCTTGCTTCCCCACCACCTGTTCCCATGTCCTGGGCACTGCTTCCCTTGGTGGACTCTGCCTCTTCTGCCTCTGCGGGTGTGGACACGCTGTCCAGCCTGACCAGATCCCCGTCACCAACCACTGCTGGCCACTCTGGCCTGAGCTCCATCTGACGGTCACCTCCGAGGCTCCAACACGCCCACCTGGAGCCCCATTCTTTGAGTTCCCCTGCTCACGTGCCCCTTCTGTTCTGAGCTTACTACCCCGGTGGCAGCCTTTACCCCCAGCACCCCAGGTCTGACTGAGGCCTCTCACGCCAGAACCCAGTTCAGCTCCCCAGAAGGCTGCCCCTGCTGCCCCAGACTTCCCCAAGGCCTTGATTTCTCTCCCACCACCTCCTGCTGGCCTGCCCGGGACTTCCCTCCATGCGTGCCTGCTCCTAAGTCCTCGGAGGACCTCCCCAGGCAGTCTCTCCCCCTGCACTCCTCATGCCATGCAGTACTGGGTGCTGGGGCCTTCCTTCCTGACTCTCGCCAGCAGCCACCCCACAGGTGGCCGGACCAAGGCCACTGGAGTTGCAATCCGGCACTCTGTGGGGCTCCTGTGGCGGGCACAGCATTCCTGTAACAGGTGCTTAGGATGAGCATGCCCATTTAGGGGAACCAAGTGCAAGCAGCTTGTGGAGCGAGGCACCACGTGGGCTGGTACTCACCTCATCACTACCTCTCCCCGGCATGGCCAGTATCCAGCGCTCCTGACCCCTGGCTAGGACGGAGCTCCTGCAGAAGCCCATGCTCTCCACGGGCACAGAGTCCACGATGGCGTTTCTGCCCTCTGCCAGGTCCCATAGGCGCAGCGTCAGGTCCCGGCCCTGACTGCCAAACCAAGAGGAGACAGGCCGTGAGCCTCCCAGGTGAGCAGACTCGGTGTCCCACCTGGACAAATGCTGGCGTGCCGGGCGGGGCCAGCCTGATACCGAAGGAAAGCAGGGGACATCGTCCAGAGAGGGACCCAGATGGTATTGCTGACCTGGCTGGCATACCTCAGCCAAGGAAGGGCTTTGCATCCAAGATGCCTGATGCTGACACATTCATGGGCTATCCCAAGGAGGCACCGTCAACCAGGTTCCAGGGAGCTTTGCGACACATGCCCCATGACCAGCCTCCTGTGCTCTTCCTGCCACTCCCCATGCTGCCAAAGTGTGAGCTCACCCTCCTCCTTCCCTCTGTGAATTAACCGTGACAGCCCAGCAATCCCACCCTCACACATTTTCCCAAGTGAATTTAAAACCTATATTCACACAAAAGCCTGTACACAAATGCTTACAGCAGTTCTGTTCCTAACTGCCCAAACCAAACTGGACGCGACTCTTCAGTAGGAAGCTGGGGAACCAGCTGTTGTGCATCTGCACCACAGAATTCCACTCAGCAGCAGAGAGGGACAAACTGGGACGCATGCTACAACCCGCAGGAATATCAGATGCGTTCTGCTAAGTGAGGGAAGCCAGAGCCAAAAGGCCGCCTATGGCATGATTCCCCTGGCGGGACATTCCGGGGGCGGCATGATGGCACGTGGAGGAATGGGGCCGCCGCCCACAGGGGGCAGCACAGAGGCTCTGCAGGGTGCTGACTGCTCTGTGTGGCCCTGGGGCGGCACTGACGTGATGGTGGACATCATCAAGCCCACAGAACCACTGCACAAAGAGCAAACTTTAGTGTGTATACTTTAAGAAAACAATCAGGGTGTCAGGCTCCCAAGATGTACTGCAGCCTGTGACAAATGTCTGGCACACCGCAGCCAAAGGGAGGGCAGATAGGAGCCGACTGCGGCATTGTGGAAAAGTGTGTTCACTCGATACTACCAAGTTAAAACCAAAATACCTTTAAGAGACATCAGACCCCAGGTGGTCAATCTGTATCCTAACCCTCAAATGGCTCGGTCTTGGCACACAGCAATGCTGCCCACCTAACCACTAGGCCTTCCCAGCCACTGTCAGGGGACTCCTAAGCCCACCACCTCCTCCATTTACGAGATGCTATCCTACAGGAAGAATGGGCGTTTCCCTCTCCTTCCGTTCTCTCTGTTTCCATCAGTTTGGACTTAACGTGTTCATATTACTCAGTGGGTTGTCATCTACGCTTCCCATTATTTATTTTTGTGCTCAAACCATCCCAGATTGGCCAACGGGACCCCCTTCGAGCTGGCTCGGAGTCCTTCTGACACGTGTCCATCAGCAAGAAAGTCCAGACCCGGAATCATTTCTCCAAGGAATTCTTGTTCCTTCCAGTGCAGAGAGATATTTGCAAACCAAGATCTCGGTTCTGGTGTGCTCATTGTTGTGAGGTGCTGCTGCCACCAGGCCCTCTCGCCAGAGCCAGGAAATACACATACACAGTCACACAAACGCACCTCTCTCACACACACACGCACGCAAACACACCTCACACAGTCACACAAACGCACCTCTCTCACACACATGCAAACACACCTCACATACAGACACAGCACAGCTCACACGCAAATACACCTCACACACAGTCACACAAACACACCTCTCTCACACACACACGCAAACACCTCACATACACACAAACGCACCTCTCTCACACACACACGCAAACACACCTCACATATAGACACAGCTCACTCACACGCAAACACACCTCACACACACACTCACACAAACGCACCTCTCTCATACACACACACGCAAACACACCTCACATACAGACACAACTCACTCACACACAAACACATCTCACACACAGTCACACAAACACACCTCTCACACACACACACACGCAAACACACCTCACAGACAGCTCACTCACATGCAAACACACCTCACACACACAAATGCACCTCTCTCATACACACACATGCAAACACACCTCACATACACACACATCTCACAGACACACCTCACACACACAAATGCACCTCTCTCAAACACACCTCACAGACAGCTCACTCACATGCAAACACACCTCACACACACAAATGCACCTCTCTCATACACACACATGCAAACACACCTCACATACACACACATCTCACAGACACACCTCACACACACAAATGCACCTCTCTCACACATACACGCAAACACACCTCACATACAGACACAGCTCACTCACACACAAACACATCTCACACATAGTCACACACAAACACCTCTCTCACACACACACACGCAAACACACCTCACATACAGACAGCTCACTCACACGCAAACACACCTCACACAAACGCACCTCTCTCTCACACACACACATGCAAACACACCTCACACACACAGCTCACTCACACGCAAACACACCTCACACACACAGCTACTCACAAACACACCTCACACACACACGCAAACACACCTCACACACACAGCTCACACAAACACACCTCACACACACACACCTCACACACAAACATACCTCAGACACACACAAACACACCTCATGCACACATTCACACTCACAAACACACCTCTCACACACACATGCAAACAACCCTCACACACAACTAACACACACACAAATGCACCTCTCACACACACAAACACACCTCACATACACAGCTCACTCACACACAAACACACCTCACACAGTCACACACACAAACGCACCTCTCACACACACACAAACACCCCTCACACACACAGCTCAAACACAGCTCACACACACACAAACACACCTCCCTCACACACACACAAAACACACCTCACATACACAGCTCACTCACAAATACACCTCCCTCACACACACACATGCAAACACACCTCACACACACAGTTCAAACACAGCTCACACACAGTCACACACACAAACACACCTCCCTCACAGACACACAAACACACCTCCATACACAGCTCACTCACACACAAACACACCTCACAGTCACACACAAACATACCTCAGACACACACACAAACACACATCATGCACACATTCACACTCACAAACATACTTCACACACATACCTCACTCACACATGCAAACATACCTCATACACACACACCCTTCACTCACATAAACTTCACACACACATGCACACTCACACATGCAAACATACACACACAAGTATTTCTGTACCTTTGTGTATATATTTTCAAAACCTCACAAGTTCATGCTGATGCCCCAAGGCTTCTTCCTCTCCTTCCTCCTTCTCAGGTTTGTGACTCTATTCTCTGACTGGGAAAAACCTGCCTCCCATTTTCCTCAAGATATTTACTGCCGCGCTCCACCGACACACTTGCTCGCATGAAGCAGCCAATCTCCCAACCTCCCCAGTCACCTCTGACACCTCGCCCCCATCACCCTGGTTCTCTGGCCGCTGGGCACGCTGCTCCAACACCTCTGCCTGGAAGCCACCCCCTACTGTCCACTTCCTCAGCTGCCCACGTCCCTGAACTTGGAGGGGAAATGAGAGCAGGGAGGACGGGACCATTGGGTACCCACACAGAAACAAAGAACGCTCCTCCTCACCAACAGTCAATTCCAGATGCAGTGTGGGCTCAAAAGGAACAAGACTGAAGCTCCTGGGAGATCAGGGAGGTCTTGATGACCTGTTGCTGGGACTCCTTCACACGACACAGAAGCACCAGCCAAAAGGTAAAGATGGCAGACTTGACCCCATTTAAATGGCTAACTTCTGCTCATTAACACATCCTTAAGGAGTGAGAACTGTAAGCCACTTTGTGGGAGCAGTACCTGGTGATATAAAAATATCAGCCATTTCTAGAATATAAAAAGAACTCCTGTAACTCAATAAGAAAAAGGCAGTCAATCCGATAGAGAAATGTGGATTGAAGGGAGACTTTATCCAGGGGCTAACAAACGCAGAAGAGGGCTGGCTCATTAAGTGGTCATGAAAGTGCAAATGAGGCCGCACCCAGAAGTGCCCAGGCCCCAGAGAGCAGTGCAGGGGTGGGGGCACTCGCACTGGGGACAGCCTGGCACCCTCTGAGCTGCCCAACGTGTGCACACCCTGTGTCCCTGACGCCCCACCTCTGGGTCCAGGGTCCAACCTGCAGACACGTGTGCACCAGGCACCCGGAGACCCAGACGGGGGTCTTCTTAAGCTTCTCAGCCCCAGGTGGGCAACTCAGATCTCCACTGATGGTAGAATGAGAAATAATCTGGTTATACATACACATCCAGTGGAATACCACACAGAAAAATCCCACACAATGCCCTATGGCTACACACACCGTCGTGGATCTCACAAAGTACAGCTGAGTGGAAAAAGTCACGTACAAAGGAAGCTGTTCTGCATGGCCCCTTTTTTTTAAGTAAGAAAAAAACCAGACCTAACAAGTCTATGCTTTTTGGAGATGCACATTCTGAGTGGTAAGGCAAGAGCGAGGTGCAGGGGGCTGCCTCCTGGGGACGGGAACGGAGCAGACGTCAGTGTTCTGCCTCCTGACTGGAGTGGTTACCCAGGTGTCCACTCTGTGATAATACAACAGTCTGTAAACTTGGTCTGTGCACTTTTCTGCAAGGGGGCTACAGCCCACAATAAAACACAGCACCTGGGTGGCTGTCACTGGGCACAGGTGTGCCCTTGGGCATGAGGGCGGCGCCTAAGGCTCAGCCTGGCTCCCAGCTTTCTGTCCTCCAGCCTCCCCTTGACATGAAAGCGTACCTTCCTTTCTCAAGGGCCACTTTGCAGAGACCTGGCTTCCAAACACAGCTGGGCGCACGGCCTCTAGTGCAACGTAAACGCACCTGGGCATTCCAAGTCCCTGCACGGTCTGCACCGCAGACCTCCTGACCCACGGGCCCCTGCCTGGAGCAGGGCTACCACAGTGCCATCCAGCTTGGAATGGGAAGGCCCAGCAAACATTCACTCACAGGTTGTCCTTGCTGCTTGCCTCCCCACACAACGTCAGGCCAGCTCTCTGAGGAGCAGACCCCAGGGCTGGGAGTTCCCTGAGAACAGCCTAGGGCATCTGGGCCCTGGAGGGGCAGGAGGCACCAAAGGGCCCAAGACCTTTTGGCTGAGAACTCAGGAGGAATGTTTACAAAGAGCAACCCCCAGTGTGAGCAGTTTAGTGGCGTATTTGGATACAACTTCTATTCTAAGCATCAGGGAAAAGCCACAACCATATGGAGGGCCTTCCACACCAATTGGGGGAGAAGGGGGCCAGTTTGGGGTTCTGCAAGCACATGTGTCTGGGGCCACTGCCCTCCTAGATACCTCTGGTTCTTTGATCACCTGCGAGCCACATTTAGGGTGGTGGGAGTGGCATGTCTGGCACAAAAGTGCTTTGAAGAAGGGTGGGTCCCTGACAGGCCTCATCCTTTGGGGATCGGGAACCATGGTGCCTAGATGTCCAGGCTCCGAGTCCACGGCAGGAAGACAGACTGGCCTTGCAGGGCTTTCAGGAAAGTTTCACCTAAACTTGGTAGACAGAAACTCATTCTTCCACCCATCTACCCCTTCCTGCTGCCTCCTGGCCTACCTCTCGCCTGGAGTCCCCAGCCTGGCACCTCTACAAGGCCATGGTGGCAGTGCCAGACCCCTCTGGGCTCCGCTCACAGCCGCTCACAGCTGGGTCCACCATGGCTTTGGCATGTGCAGCGTCCTCTGTCAGGGGTGCCAGACTCCCACCTTGCTCTCGCCATCTCCTGCTCTCCCTGCACCGGTCAGCCCAAATGCCATGGACCTGGGCACCTGTGTGGCCCACCCACTGCCCTGGGGGGTGGCTGCACTCGAGGTCTGGAGCACAACCCCAATCAGTGGGTGGGCTTTAGGCACAGGCTCTGCACCACCCTGGTGACCAGTCCTCGCCACCTCGTGGGAAGGGGACCACCCGTCAGAGCAGGTGTTGTGACACCAGAGCCCTGGGGTCCCCAGAGGGGAAGCTGAGGCTCCTCTAAGGAGAAGCCCTGAGCTCAGCCATGGGCGCCTAGCTCTTGCCACTGGAGAGCCCTGGCGGGCCAGGGAGGGCTCTGCTCAGGCCACAGGTGGTGTGTGGGGCTGCAGACAGAGTTGTTTTGTGCGTTCATCAGGCTCTTCTCAGTGGGCACCCACCTGGACAGAGCAGTGGTCACAGAGGCTGCATTGCCGGGCACCCAGTGTCCCCGGACACGGCCTCTGGACAGGCCAAGGCCAGAGATCACACTGCTCTGCCATGGGGAGGGGCTGCCCCGGCAGCGGGGGGAGACCCCGAGAGCCTCCAGTGGCAAGCTCTTGGCCCCTGCCGAAGGCCACAGCTTGACTCCTTTGGGACTGTACTCACTGCCACCAAGACCCACCTGAGGAGCAGGTGCCCCTGGGGCAGTGTCTGCAGCCAGGTCACACACTTGCCCCCATGGCCGTCCAGCGTAGCAACCGCCCTCCGCGTCTGCAGGCTCCAGATGTGCACCAGCCCACTCAGGGACCTGTTCTGACAAGCGCAAGCACCAGCTCAGGCAGAGACGTCAGAGGACATTCCCAGCATGCTCTGCAGGGCTGGCCTGGCAACCCCACAGCAGTGGACCAGGCATTTCATTCGGGGGCTTTTAGTTGAGGTGACGGCTGTCCATGTGAACTACGGGTAAAAGTGGCACAGTGCTCCTTTTCCAGGAATGGCGGGCAGAGGGCCCTCAGGAGCCTCCGAGGACACCTCAGGCAGAGGGACAGGGGGCTGCCGCTGACACTGTAAACTGGATGGTGTCTATCAGAGCGTGCTCCCTGCCTCCTCCGAGGGGGCCAGGCCCAAGGGACAGCTTGTCGAGTGGGTTCTGAAAAGTCAGTATGCCCGCCTGAGTGATGGGCAGCCTGAGCCCATCACTGGGATCCCCAAATGAGCCCCGGGCTCATTGCTAGCCCACCGCCCCCTAAATTCACCCTGGGCTAACCCCTGGGGTTGGGTTGGGGCCGCAGCTACTCACCCTGAGAGGAGGAGTGGGCGCCCCTGTCCTTGGGCTCCTCCGAAGAAATGCAGCGCATGCACCGCCGACTGGGTACCTCGGAGGACAAACTGGGGATCTGGCGGTGGGAGCGGGGAGGCTGCCATACTGGGCGGGGGTGCAGTCACCTGGGGACCAAGGAGGGGTGTGAGTGACCCAACCTGTCATCCTTCAGGAAGGCAGTCGGAGCCTCCCTGGATGCTACCCACCCCCTTCAGCCTGTCTTCCATCCTGCCTATTGGCCTCTACACCCAGATGGCATCACCGTGGCCCCAAACTGCACCATCTCTGGGTGGGCACAGTGGCGCCCACATCCTTCTGAGGTCACTCTCACCTTCGGCGCCCCACATAGAGCCTGCCACTGGCCTCCAGGGCTTGCTGTCCACCCACCAGCTATACACTCTGACTCCCTGAATCCCACTGGCCGCAGCAGGAGGAGTGACTCCTCCTCACTCGGTTTGCCTTCTCCTCGCCTGGGCTGTCCACACACCCTGGGGTGTCTGTCCTGCCTCTGGGCCTGGCTGAGAACTGCAAATTCAGCCTCCCTCATCCCTCCTGATGCCCATCTCCTCTCCTCCCTGCAGGGGAGCAATGACATGCCAGGACATGCTGTCCACTTTGGCCCTGTAGCAAGCTTGGGGAACAGGGGCCACACTGGCCTGCTCCCCCCAGACCACAGGCCTGGCCACTGGCACCAGGCACAAAGCAGCTGCTCAGCAAGTGCATACTGAAGGGATGAACCAATGGACAGACAAGAGGTGTGCAGGGTCCCTGGGGGCTGGAAGAGCGAGCAGGACCCAAGATGAAGAGGAGGCTCTCTCTCACATGTGCTGCAAACACCACCTGCTGGGTCCTGAGGGCCTGTACATCCACCCTTAGAGAAGGCAGCACCACACTTACTGTTGGAGAAACGGAGGCAGGGGATGGTCTGGTGAGCTACCCCAGGGCTCTCAGACTCAGGCCTGAAGTCTGCACGCTGCCACCAAGAGGCAGAGTGGCCGGTGCACTAGTGTGTGGGCAAGGGGCAGGGACTGAGTTACCTTGCCACTCCCCAGAAGGACTGATATCACAGACGAGTGACCCTTCCTCAAATCACTGGTCCTGTGAGGCCCACCCACCTGAAAGAAGCCTCCCAGTGTCCCCACTGAGCCCACCCCAGCAACGGTACCTGGTTGCCAGACCAGAAGTGACCTGCTCCAATGACCACGGGGGCACATCTGTCAGCCTGCAGGTCCCAGGCCAGGCTGAGGGTACAGAGGGAAAGGCCAGGAGCAGACTGTTGGGGAGCTGCAGCAACTTCATCAGGAGGGCCTCTCCTGCTGGGCTCTGAGACCCTTCCCCACCTGCCCCTCTCCAGCCTGGACGCAGAGCAGCGAGGAGGCTGCCCGGCCACTGAGGGAGCCACAGCCACCAGAGGAACTGGGCAGGGCAAAGAACAGGAGCAGAGAAGATAGCATTCCTCCAGGAGGGGCCTTGGCCAATGCCAAAGGTTGGAGGGGGTTCCAGGCCAAGCACGGGGGCCCACGCAGAAGGGGGGCTGAGGCTGAGGACAGGCAGACACACAGGCGCAGAGGCAGGAGAGGCGTGGGTTTCTCCAGCAGCAGAGCAGTCCAGGCACCGCTTCAGCCACACGCTCAACCGGGAAGCCCTGTACCTCCCCTCGGTGAAACCATCTCAGACCCTCTCCTTCTCTCTCTCTCTTTTCAGAATAGAGCCCGGAGTAGCTTCACTAGAGCAAAAGGTTCAAAACACCTGAGAAATGCCACTGTCAAGGCAGCTGGGGACTTGTAAGCCAGGGGGCTCTGAGTCACCTAGATAGCAGGGCGGGGGGTGGGGGAGGACAGGGACAGGCAGTGACCCGAGACTCCGGAGACCACCGGAGTCAGGGAAATGCTGCAGAGACCCAGCAGAAGGCCACTGCCAGCACCAGGCTAGCTAAGGCCTGGCCCACGTGAGGGCTGGAAGTGGGGTTGGGGCTGAGATCCTAATGACCCAAAGCATACACTGCAGGGCTAGGGCCAGGAAGGGGCAGATGCTCACCCTTACTGGTGAGAGACCATAGGCAGCCGCTCTACTGCTTGATCCTGCCTCTGTTGAGGGGTTTCAAAGAGAAGGAAGGGGTACCTGGGAATGGAGCTTACAAATGGCCAAGTCCCTGTTTGTTTCTTTCTTTTTTAGGGTTTTCACTGTAAAAGCCTCTCTCACCTTTCGCTAAAAACCAACTGACTCTTCCCAAACACAAGGACGGCCTCCTGTGGACAGAGACCTGACCCCATACTGCTCCATGACCCATGGCCCCTGCTCTGGCCTGGGACAGGTGAGCTGCCAGGAGACACTGCTCAGCCGGGGCTGTGAACCCTGCAAGGCTGCCCTCCGGCAGGCAGGCTTGGGACAAAATTCAAAGGAGCAGCTATAGGGCCCTCCGAAGCTACTGGCTGTCTGTGCTATCAGCACAGCTGGTAAGCTCCAGGGCCCCAGATCTGGAGAAACCCCAGAATGGAGAACCCCACTAAAGCACCTCAACCCATCAGAAAAGCCCCAGTCTCCAGGACTGGGGCATGGGGGGCATCCTACCCCCACGGTCCGGGCCTCGGAGTCCTACAGGCCACTTCCGCACAGGCTCTCACGGTGCGGTGCTGATGCACACACGCTGCATTCATGCACACGCATGCGCACACAGACAGAGGGCACACACATGCATACCTACGCACGCACATGCATGCACACACTCACACACACGCACAGGCAGCATGGGGGCCTTGGGCAGCGCCAGCCGAAGCACAGCCCACACTTGGCACTTGCCTGCGGCCTGATGGGAGTTTCCAGAACCTCACCAGCACAAGGCTCGGTCTGAGGTGATGAAATCAAGTTCTCCTCTATTGTTTCCCCAGAACTGCAGGGAACAAACCCGTCACGTTGTTACAACAACCAAAATATTCAGGCCAAAATGATGCATCGGCAATTAAGGGCTCCATCATTTCAAGCAATTAAAATAAACGCTTTATTTGAAAACTAATTAATTCTAGCTACATATTTTTCCCATGACAATATCCTATGATTACTTGATTTATGACATCTAATTATTCTTTATTAATCTAATTGAGAATAATCGCGTTATCCTATCTCCCCTGGCAGCGGGCCGCCCGGAGCGGAGGCTGCAGCCCCTTGTGCAACACCAGTGCGCGGTACCAGCCGCCCGCCGCTGCCTCGTTTCCCTGTTCTGTCACTCGTCTTTTCCTCCCAGAGGGCAAAGGAACCTGAAACTCAATCCATCGAGCACAATTTCGGATTCTGCCTGCTCTTCGAGATGTCAAAGAGAGACACATTCTTTTCAAAATTAAAAAGAAAGACAATCTGACAAAATTTGCGCAACCCTGACAGCCTTTCCAACTAATGCTGTGAACCCCGAAAGCCCCTCAGGCCCTCGGCCCCTGGGTGGGGGCGACAGTGCCCCCCTGCATCCTGCCTCAGAAGCAGCAGCCTGGCAGGCCTCAGGGTCATCCCCACAGAGAGGGGCCCGGAGCCCTTCTCCTGGCATGAGGAGCAGCGGGCAATCAGGGTCCCCTGTGGGAAGGCACATGGGTGGCTGGGAGCAGGCTACACCTGGCTCTCACCCTCCCACCAAGCCACGCACACCTCAAGCAGGCAGAGCAGCCATGGGCCCCAAGGGTGCCCCTCACAGGGAAGGCAGGCAAACCACCAAAGACTGGCAAACGCAGAGGAGGCAGGGCCAAGGGAGAAGCTGGTACCCAGAGACCACAGCCTGACCCACGAGTCAGCCCTGAGCACCCACTGTGCACTCAGTCACAGAACCCTTTCCTTTTACCGCAACAGGACCACTGGTCCTTAAAGAAGTTTGGAATCAACAAGGAGTACTGAGAAGTCAGCCAAAGCGGGGAAGCCACAACCACAGTCAGCCAAGCACTGTTCCTGCCAGCTCCAGCCCACCAGGTCCTGCCTCACTGACTGCCTATGTCTGGGAGTGCAAGAACAGGCTGCACGGGATGCTGCGAGTACCCGCAGGGCTGGGGAGTGGGGCCCCATGAGGTACTGGCCCCGCCCTCCATAAGTGAGCCCCATAAGAGCACAGAATGGTTTCCAGCAGCCCCATAGGGCACCTAAGAATTCCATAACCAGCACAGACTAGGGAGGCACCACTTTGTAGCAGGATAAATGCCCACAAAACAACTAAAATAAAGACCGAAAATCTTCAGTACATCACTGTCCAAAAAAAAAAAAAAAGTCTAGAACCTTCAGAGGCCAAACACTAAGTAAGTGGAAGTCAAATGTAGTGAAGTCTACGGAGCCCCACAGTTGGCACCTGCCCTGAGAGCATCTGCTACATTAGTGACGTAGAATTCTGGTTCTTAAGCAAGGCCTCTGAGTCTATGAAAGGCAAAGCTTAGGGCCCTCCCAAAGTGGACAATCTCATAGGAGCATCTCCATAAAGATGAGACCACACAGGACTAAATGCTCAGTGTTAGAATGAACCAGAAGTAGACCTACACCCAGAGGTGCCCGCATGATACCAGCCTTCGGGCTTATCCTAGTCCTAATTTACACGACCTTAGGAGGTCTCCAAAACTTCAGTCTGTGAATGTCTCTCAGAAGGAGCCCACGTTCAACCTGGCCTGAATGAATTCACTGATAAAGCCCTATGAAATGCAAGTAGTCAAAACTCTTAGAAACAAAAAAGGAAACATGGCACCATGAGTGAGGGCCATGAGAAACAACAAAAGGCAGAACTAGACCTCTAGAGCACAAAGCATTCAGGCATATAAAATAAAGATGTTTAATGCTTTTAAAGAAATAAAAAGAGGGAACTAAAATCACAATTGGAGAGCAAGAGATCATAAAAATCACCACTCAGATTTGAAAAAGGACCCAACTGGGTGAAAGGCTGTTGGGAAACAGGAGATTTGCACTGTGCCAAGGTATTATGCTACAGATTATTGACTGATCACTAAAGGAGAATGTTCCTTAACGATGGAGACATCTGGCTGTCACCACCTTCACCATGAGATTGAAGCTGGCACCACCAATAGTAAACAAATTGGCATCACTTATCTCCTGAGGTGATGCCAGAAAACACAGCACCATCCTTGTACATCTGTGCCAACAACTTGCT